TTCTAAACGAGGGCAACACAACGAAACTGGTTAGAGATGCCCGGAAGGCCGTAGTAGTCCGAAAATCCGCGATTGCCCTCCATGGCTCTACTCCTCCAGGAAATTTTTACAATTAATTATATTTAGGTTATCGGTTTTATGGTTTTTTAAAAAATTACAAATTGTCCAATCAGAATTTAGCTTTGTCGTTTCATTGTAGCAATGACGTAAACCGAAATGACGCCAATCGTGACGTTTAACGGTGATATGAATAGTGTCGTGACTACGTGTCGTGACATAAATTGCGATATCGATAAAACTAAAAGCGTTAAACGTTGTCCTGCATATTCTTAAGTGTATTTTATTTTAATTTTCCATATCAATTCATTTATTTGAAAAGAAAATTTTAAGCGGAATATCTACGCTTTATGCGGGTTTATTAAAACTGTGTTTAAATTAGAGAAATATCGAATAAAAAAAATAATGTTTTTTGAAATATGAGGCATAAGCCAAATGACCCCACGCTTGAGATGCTTCAATTTAGCGCCACAGTGGATTTCAGAGGTGCTAAATCGAGATTTAAACCTTATATCTCTATACCTATATTGTTTGAGTTTTTTTACTTTAGGCTCCACACTCGATTTAGTGCCAATAAATGGCGGCGCTAAATTGAAGTTTGGCTGTTAAGTTTATGTAAATACGTTCATTCATTGCCGTCTTTACCATTTACCACGGATTATTTTTAAGTTTCGTTACATTGGTTGATGCAAAACTACATTCGAATTCTCGATATAGCGTTCACCCAAATAGCGCCACCAAATAAATATTACAGAACCTTACAAAACAAATTATGTATACATTCCATTGATAGAAACGATATTGCTATCGCCGCGAGTAGCTTCAGATACTTGGATTTTGCGCCACAGTAGATTATGTGCGAGATTCAGATGCGCTAAATCTAGATTCAAACCATATATAACTCTTTATTGTTTTAGGTTCTTTAGTTTAGGTGCCAAACTCCATTCGTTGACACCAAATCGAGTGTTTTGCGGTTCACTGGCGCTATTTGGCAGAGCGTTACATCGAGAATTCGATTGAAGTTTTGTACCAAATCGATGTTTGGCTGTTATATGTACGTCGATGGTTTCATTTATTGCCATCGTTTTCCTTGTGTTGGTACCTTGGTACGATACTTTCTATAAGGTTAATGAATCATCGATCGCTGCCTTTATGGATCCTTGATAAAGATACATCGAAATAATTAAATATAAAGAATTATTTATCAGCATTAGACAAGTTTCTCGCATATAATGACGCAACTTCCATGCAGTTTTCTTAATATAGTGTTCGAAGAGAGACAAGAAATGGCGAACGATCAATCAGTGTCATAATTTATACTACAGAGACTTTGTCCCATCAGACAATCACTACTTATTCTCAATTTCTTCCGTTCTAAAACAATCTAAAGATAAGAGAAATGATAAATTATTAAGTTTTTCTAAGATAAAGAATAAATAAATCATACAGAAATACATTTATTTTAATTATATTGATAAAGTTCCATTGTTATTTTAATAACGAAGGAATGGGGGAGCTTCGTTTATCATTTATAATTTACATATATATGTGTGTAATAATTATATAATAAATACATTATTATTAATTATTAAATAATTTAATAATTATAAATACAATCATTTATTTATTTATAATTATTATATTTAACAAGAGATGGCGGCCTACAGGCTAGTCTCTTCTGCCAAATTGCTTAGTAATTATTTAGTTTTAATAGCCCAATAATCCTTCATTAGATGTTGATTTAATTTATATATTTATTAATTAAATTTGCTAGAAATTTATTGTAGTAAAATTTGATAAATTTTAATAATATAGGCTATATATATTTTTTATATACAGAGAAACAAATGTTATTTGATTATCTTACACTATAAACGCGGCTTCAACCAAGGAGCCAATTTGGTGTGGATTTTAACGCCATTTTGTGTTGTTTTTATAATGATAAAATGTAAAATATGACGTTAAATTGAAGTACAGATGCACACTCGATACAGGGCCGGGTAAAATGGGCCCCTTTTGTACCTTAGTGGACTCTTTTGCCTTATAACATTAATTTACAGGGATAGGAATCACTACGGACTTCTAAGATTTTAGGGCCCAGAGAAAAATCCCAAGCTCTTCCTTTCTACCGGCAAATTATGAATTAAGAACTTGTTATAAATTAGGAAGAGAAAAATGTTTTAGTAAGACCGCTTTTAGTTCATTATTATACAGCTTCCTCAAAATGGGCCTGGCCGAACCCACGATTGGTATGGAAAATAAGGTACTCTAAGTGTCCACATGGTAGAAGATGTACAAATAAAAACGAATAAGTGCTTTTATTAGGGCTCATCTTTCTCAATAAAAACGTATATAATGTTTTTTAATGCATTTTATCAATGAGATTTGGCTTTTACAAGTACTCGGAGCCGCCATATTTAAAAATCAAGAGCGTGGGAAGCGGTATTGAACTAAGAGGAAAGAATAGCAATGCTTTTCTATTTTATTTTTAAGAAGTGTGGTCTTCTTTTAAATATATCTAATTGAATACATAAATAACCGAAATTTGCTTTGATTTTCGGGGAGATGAAACTTTTTATCAATATTTTTGTTAAGAATAAAAGAGATCATCCCTATTTTAAACGATGATAATAAGCTCAAAGATAGTGTATTTTATATTGTTAAATCAATTGTGTGTGTCATTGTAGTAATGCTTTGTACAAGAAAATAAACGTAGATTGAAAACGAATTAAATCAACCGCGAGTGCCAAGTTTTCAGTCGATGACGTGAAATTTCGGTGAAGTGAAAATCTTTAATGGAACTTATTGCAAATTATCCATTCGTAAACGTTATTCTAAAGCCATTGAAGTAATGATTTTTAATTTAATATAGGACAAATATAAGTCCTATTATGAAATGGTTCTTTCAGGCACGAGAATATTTGATTTCAAATCGTCCATGATAGTTCTTATTTTTTCAGTAGCATCAAAGAAAATCGATGCTGACGATATACATATAAATGCCATTGACGATCCAAACTTTTGAAAAGATTTTGAAAAGAAATGGTGAATTGTAGATTCTTTAACTCCTCGGATAAACTTTGATCAATAAGTACGAGTTTTGCATATATGGAGGAATAGATTTCTGATGCAGCGACCAATAGCTTAAGCTGTTGCATGCACGTATATTTTAATTTTTTTTTTAACATTCTGCGTTAATCAACACGGAGATTAGTATTCGATACAAGATTATATGCTCTACTATAATTTGTAAACAGTATAGGCTCATGGATCTATCGTCTTATGGGTTTTATTTTCAATATGCAGCTTCAGGGCTTTTTATATTTAGCATGGTAGGATTCACACATAAAATGCTGCACAGAACTTAAACTCTTTAAATTTATTATTCATGAAAGAGCATTTTATATTTTGTAGCTTAGGGACTATACGTTAATTTAATTACGTGTAATTGAGCCACTTTTGGCTTCTCCCTCCCTGTTGTACAATAATATACTTTTGACAAATCTCTTCGCATTTAATTACGCGTACAATAGTTCGAAGAAATCACCCAAAAAACTTCTTATAAGAACAAATTCGTATGCCACTAATACCAATAAAAGAGACAATGCCTCGACTCTATCCTATCCAATAGCTTCTTAAGTTCTTGACAAATCTCGATCTGTCTTTATGATTAGAGCAGGTGTTTGTTAACCGCATTGCTAGTCAGATCTGCCCATTTTGGTAGTCATTCATAAGTCTTTAGTTCTGTGTAAAAAGACCAAAACCAGTTATTCGCTTCAACACATTTAACCAAATCGATAGATGATGACCGGATGGTCGAGGAGGTTAAGATCTTAGCCTATGTTCTGGGGGGCCTAGAATTGAATCTCAAGGATTTTTCGGGAGTAGTCTTTTCCGGATATATCGGGCCCTGTCCCTCAATATCCGGATGCCCCATTTGGGCCTGGCCGAACCTAAGAGTAAGATTAAAAAGGCCCTCTTAGTCTCCATAAGGCGAAAACAGTTTGAAAAAATTGCAAATGATAAATTCCGACTAAAAGTTTTCTTATATTATACAAGAAATGCAATGGAATAATGTATATGAAATGTGTTTTTGAGGCTCGTGTAAATGCTAGGTTCAAGCCAAATGGCCCCTCTGATAGGGTATGTAGCATATATTTAACTTACATATTAAGAAAATTTATTTATAGTATTAAAACACTTGTGTTACTTTTAAAAAAATGCAATTTTTTTTTATTAATATTCACTTTTTATTAAAAAAATGATGATTTAATTTTAACTTAAACGAAAAACTTTAAGAATAAATAAAATAAATGGATATGTTTTTTTCTTTTTTAAAAAATTATTTATAGCAACTGCATTTTTTCCCTCTTCTGTGAAGTAAATTCTTTCACTGAAGTTATTCTAGAAAAATAAGCATAGCAAGATTCCTGTTCGAAATGTCAACCCGTATCGATCTGTGTTCAGATCCTGCCAGTTGCGGAATTGCTGAAACATTTAATAACTTCTTGCATGCAGCTAGTTTACATGCAATAATTATTATAAATTCAAGTGTTATAATATAAAATTATACTAAATTTTAAACGTATATAAATTTATACTTTGAAAATTAAAATAATTGCCACGTAAAAAAATTTTGCATTAAAGTCTTTTTACGATAAATTAATTAATTTAATATATTATTATCGGTTTTAATCATATTTCAACGATATTTAATTAAGAAAATGAAAGTCATTGGTTAAAAAAAAAATTAAAATAAACAACGTTATTTTAAATTCGACCAATCACCGTTAAGGTAATGGTATTTCTATCCAATAGTCGTCCAACGTGATGTTTTATATCTTACTTATATCGCAGGGGACTATATATGTACACTAAAATATTTTTTCTTCGATATAATGCGATTTAGTTTAATTGTTAATGAATTTTTTAATTATTTACAGGTGGAGCAATTAAATGCTGGGAATGCAATTCACATTACGATGCTAATTGTGCAGATCCATTTGAAAATTATACATTCGCTCTTACCGATTGTAATCAAAGGTTTCTAAGCCATTTCCCCAATACACCAGCATCATTATGTCGGAAAATTGTCCAAAAAGGTAAGGAAAAAAAAACAAAACGCTTTAATTTATAAGTATATCTAGTATATTACATCACTAAGTGTCGTTTCTTTCGTTGTTACGTATAGTAAATGAAAATTATCGTTATATACGAGGATGCGGATGGCTTCCTGAAGAGAAAGAAGGGGTGGAATGCGTGAAGAGAGCAGGTACTTTTAACGTATTGGTCCAGTACTGCAACTGTGAAGAAGATGGCTGCAATTCAGCTTCACACATGGGAATCAGTTGGATAGCCGTCGTTACCATTGTGACTCTCATTTTAGCAATTAAATAACTAATATATATATAAAAATTTAACTTGATCACCATGTAGTTCTTCACAAAGAGATATAAAAAGAAAATATTAATATATGTATATATATATATGTATATATACGTAACACAAAAAAATAATAATAATAATATTATATTCTGTATATATACAAATATATGTACTACACGGACGGAAGCGAATTGGGTTTTTACACCAATTGGAAAAAGAACAGTTTATTGTTCTAATCAGAAATAATATATACATATTATTGTTTCCTTTACATAAAAAAAAAAACTGCCACATTTCTTCTGTGTGTTAGGTAGAAATATAATTTCACCGAATTGGGCATTTTTGATGTCGAATCAAAGTTGCACATGGGTGTAATTAGCAGTTTAAATCACGCATGGATGGGTAGAGGTTTGCATAGATTTAAAAAAAAAAAACAATTGCCTGAATATAAAAAAAAATATATAGTATTAAATAGTCCGACTTCATCTCAAACGAACAATTAGTTAATAAAACAATGAAATGATTCACCTACACTAACAAGTAAGTAGCCCATGAGAAGCGGAAGAAAGCATCCACGAGCTATAGAAAGATATATAAAAGAGGAAAAAAATTATATATAAAAGAATATATATATATATATAAAGAGAATTTTAAACATTAAATGTATAGTTATTCTAGAATATTTTATTTTTAGTTTCTTTACAAAAAAAAAAAAAAAAAAATAATTGAAGTTGTGTCCTCCTCACTTTCTCTATCTTCTCTTTGAAATCTCTCTATAAGTAAATTAGTGTTTAGTCCATTTGAGAATCTTTATTAATACTCTAAAATTTCCATCATTAATTTGTAAGGAACCATGTTAAATTTCCAAGGACTGATAGTATAATTTTATTATATTTGTGTATAACTATATAAAACAAAAACAAAAAAAAGGAAAAAAACATATGTGATTGAATTTTGATGTTAATTCTAAGCTCATTAGCTGGTGAGTGTGTATTTTTTTACCGCGGAATTTATTTGTGTATAACTTAATTTTTTTTTGTTTTTATTTTCTTCTTTTTGAATGGTGTCGTCCGTTCAAAATCCTGTGCAATGTCCCTCATCTGTATGTGAGCGTGTGTAACAGTCACAATGATGCTAATCTGCTTTAAATAAAGATTGGGAAGTTGTCTTCCCGCAAACATGTGTCAATTAAAAAAAATATGAAATCTACACACGGTCTAAGGCCATTTAGTTTAGAAATACAACGTATTATTAAACAAATATTTTATTTTAAAGTCATTTTTATACACATATTTTGATTGGTTAAAGTACAATACAATTAAGATTTAATCATATAGTAAAAACAATAACTCTAGATTAAATGAATTATGGTGATTATAGATCATCATTTAAACAAAAGATCATGGCCTGGACTGGTTAAAAGTACAATACAATTAGGAATTAATGAATCTTTACACTTATATGAAGATCCATAATGATTTGGCATGGCATGTATTGCTATAAAAGTTATAAATTCATAATTTCAAATGTTTTAATAATTCTTAGAACATTAAGGCAGTTAGTTAGTCTTTGAATGGTCAAAGTATACATTATAATATTTTACAAATGGGAAGCTTTTCATTAGTTTTAATACAAGCTTTGCCTTTGAATATGTGCATAATACATATAATGTTTTTCTTTGTATCAGATCATTTCTCTATATTCATTTTACAGATTGTCTTCAAAATATTTTTAAGGATAATAATTAAAAATAAATCAAGTTATAGTTTATATAGAGATATACAAACATATATTGACAATTATTAGACAAATATATTACAAATAGACATATTTTAGAAGACAAAAAATAGAAAACTGAAAAAAAATAATAAAAATTGTACATGAAACATAATAAAACATCATTAAAAACATGAAATTTGTTCATGGAATGAAGAATTCATTATATATATTCTATAAAAATAGAACTAAACACCTCTGTTTATGCAAGTTTTAAGCTTACTATTAAAGAGAAGATATTAATTTTTTTTTCTCCTTAAAACAGTGGAGACTTAAAAACAAGCAAGATTTATGCCTAGGGCCTCATGCTTCTACAAGGCCTCAGACAAGCACAGATACATGTGTGTGAATATCTGCTCTTGAAGTCCATTATAAGCTTTACATCAGGTAAACTTATATGAAAGGGGCCTAGAAAGTTGCCTCACACAACCAAATATATGGCCACTAAGAATTTAAAATATATTTGATAAACTTATCTTAATACAAAGATACTTTTATTAAGCAATTTGGATTATTTTGAACTGCAACACTCCTTATACAATTTCATTTATAGAAATTTAATTTCAATAAATTAGAGAAAAATAATATATATATATATATAAATTCTATTATTTTATGAAAAATATATAAAGAGAAACAGCATTATTTAACATTAAAGAAATAAAAAAAATACAGCAATAAATGTTTAAATTTTTCTATAATCATCCTTACGTAACGATTACACAATACATATTTCTTTATTTTTTATACACGTGACTCTCTGTGCCTCCACGTCCGTACCCTGTAAACATATATACAAAAACGTTATATCGGGGAGATAGAATACTTTTTAAAGTAATACCTTAAGTCAATAAACTCACCTCCAGGGCCGAAAAGTGCGCCATAACACGGTGTATTACAGTACGGTTTACCCTCGTGCTATAACAATTAAAATTACAATTAATTAAACATATTTAATTAAATACAGTAAATACAGTAAAAAATTTCTTTTAATTTACTTCGGCGTGAGATCCGGGTGTTAGAGTCTTGTTACATTTTTCGCAACGTAAGCAACCCCGGTGCCAATCTTTACCTAAAGATGTTAATCTTTCGGCTATAAAATAGGGAAAAAGTATGGTTAATTCTCATACAAAGAATTCCGCCATTTTGTAAAGTACAAAGTAATGATTTCAGTTTGTACAATCGCGTAATAGCTGTTGTACTACATTCCAAACTTCCCACTACGAAGTGGACTCCCAATGGTGTCAAAAGTCAAGGATAATAAGTATACAAAGTCGAATATCTTTCCCGTATTTAATGAATATTTATACATCTTTTAAAGATAAGTTACGTGTGATAATATAAAGCGGAATTTAGATATTTCGAGGTTATTACACTACGGAATTTTTATTTCTTAGCAAACAGAAATATTTAAAGATAATAAAGAGATTAAAAAGAAACGTTATATCGAGATATTTTCGTGTTTATAACGTTTTATACACAGCGGGCTATCGAAATACAGCCGTGTCGTTTTATTAAACACATAAAAAAAATAACTGGGACCAATATAAAATTATTCGATATAACGAAAGTTCGTTATATCGAGTGAGAAATCGATTTATTTTCGAAAAATAACAGTTTATTACGTCACTACATTAAAGTTTCTGTTTGTGTTCTGACACGAGAGAAAAGATACAAGTTCCATTTCTTTCCTGTTACGTCACACCTAAATTATTCAAAAATTTAAAAATTACGTGTGTTATTTGTATATTAAAACACTAATTTAATTATAATTATTTCATTTTAAAAAAGTTATATCCGTTTCGATATGTTATAAGCTACAACACGGGAGAAAAGTATAAACGAATACACTAAAAGGCTCAGTTTTAACATCTAAATCCGCCTATAATGGCAAAGTGACGTCACTCGAAAGCCTCCTATGTTCGAAGCGCTTTAAAATAAAATAAAATAAATAAATAAATTTGACATTTATCCAATTAAAATATGAATTCAAATACTACCGGAACACTACAAAGAGCCGATTAATAACATATAATATAACACAGTAACTTATTTATAGATATGTTTAAAGATGACGTAAGAATTAAGTTCCGCTTAATGCAATTTAAATCGAATTTAATCTAAATTAATACTTAAATACAATTAAAATTAGAGCTTGTATATATATATATTTTTACCCGTTAATACGAGAGGATTTCCGATTAATTACTAATAGGAAACACATAAAAAATTCTTTTAATACTGTTTACTTACCAAAATAAACGGGTTTATCGCATTTAGGACAATTGGGCATTGTGGAACGTGGTGTCTTTTACACAAGAATTGAAATTTTTATATGGAAAACGAAAGTTTTTCTATTTAAAAAAATAAATATAAACTGTAAGGAAGGACAACGGAGCAACTTCCTCTACCGATTTCAAATGACAATCTGGTCACACTGGTGCAAGGCGCCGAGTTGTGTATCAGACAAATCAAGACACACCCGGATCTCGTGCGTGACGTCACGACCGAAAACGACCAATATTATCGCTCGATCGAGATTTTGAATATATATATATATATTTTTTTAACTATTGGCTTGTGTTATTTAATACGGGTTATTCGAATTTTGATGGTAACATAATACATGTTTAAAACTGTGAATACCGATTGTGTGTGCTACTAAATAGATATTTTTTTAAATATTATATTTTATGTAAAATGAGCGTTATAGTCGAACCTCTCAATTTAGCACCACCTGTCAATTCGGCGCTCGAATCTCAATAGGGTTGGAATAAGGCAACGCAACGCTTGTCAAGGGGTACCTTTTGGGTGGACTTTTTGGGTGACACCTGTTTAGTGTTAGACACGTGAATTTAACACAGTAAACTCCACCCCTTTGGTGAGGCTCGAACCCACGACCTGTGTATGGAGGTTTTATCCACTCGACCACAAACAATAGAAGCTGCATTCAAGCTTCGATGTAGCGCCCCTTCTGTATAGCGCCAATGAATACTTGTGAATGGATCTTATCTATGAATAAATGGTGGCGTTAAATCGAAGTTAGACTGTAGTAATGAGGTCTGTATACAAGTTTGTAGTAAGGCAAATGATTAGACTTCATTGTATATAGCAATACAGAATCCCTTCATAAGTATTCATTGGCGCATTACGAGGATAACGCAATAACATATTCGAATTAAAAACTATTTTTATTATTTATTTAATCAACTTAAAAGAAGCTTCATAAATAATAATTATTTTTAATAAATTAATAATGACAATTTAATATTTAACTACTTTACTTATTCATATTTTATACAGTCGTATCTCGAATAACAGCTACCTCTAAACAACTGCCAATTTTTTATATTGCTATTATTGGCCGTTGTTCACAGGTTTGATTGTGATTATTGTTATTTTTAAAGGCTAATTTCATACTTTAAACGTAGAATAGGGCTTGAAATAAATACAAAGAGCCCATTCCCGGAGCCTACTTGCTCATCAGGGACTCAGACAGTTGCAAATGTGAACCTCATCCCTCTCCAAAATTAGAACAAAATTAAATAAAACTGGATTTTTAAAATCATTTATTACTTTATATAATTTTCTTGACATTTATTTTAAAATAAAAATTAAATTTTGGGGCCTTTTTGTGTTCGAAAATCGGGCCAAATAGATACGCATTTGGGCCCTTTAATCGCCAAAATTTTTTACTATCGATTTTTATGTACATTTATAATAGTATAAAAGAATTTCTTGAAATGATGCCAAATTGTCTGTTTATCAGTCTAAAAATATAAGAATTGTATCACAAAATTAAACTTTAAAATTAGAATTAATTATTATTAATTGTGTTACACTTAGGCCTATATATAATAGGAATTTACTATATTTTTGTACAAAAAATGTAATATAAAAAATTAAATTTAATTGTTAAGATTTATTTATCTGTATATAAAATGGCCAACGCTACATCAATTCCTAATAGGCATAAAAAGGCCTTAAAACAACAAAAAAGTTAAATATTTTTTTCTTGTTTTAGGACCTTCTTATGTATTTTAGATTTTTTTTAATAATAAAATATTTGAATAAAAGAGCAATATAATGAAATGGTTAACTGACTTTTGGACCACCCTATCCTATGTATATATATATATGGGCCTATAATTTAATTAATTAAAAAATTTCTATTAGAAAATAAAAATTACATGAAGGTCACAAATAGAATAAAATCAAATAAATTAGTTTTTGAGAGGATTTTGCAATTTTTTTACCTTGACCATATCAAATCAAATTTTTTCTTGATTTTTCTTGAATAAAATTAAGAAAAATTCGTTAAAATCAAGAGAAAATTATTTTTAAAAATTAAGTAAAAAAAAACTCGTTAAAAATGTAGAGAAATCATTAAAATAAAGAAAAATTATTTAAAAAAATAATAAAAATTTATCAAAAATGGAATAAACGTATTAAAATCAACTTTAAAAATTCATTTAAAAATCAAGAAAATTCATAAAAAGTATAGAAAAATCAAGGAAATTCATAAGAAATAGAAGAAAATCAAGAACATTTTTAATGAATTTTCTCCATTTTTTATGGAGAAAAATCAAGAAAAGTCAAGAAATTCATAAAAATACAGAAAAATCAAGAAATAAAGAAAATTCAAGACAATTTATAAGAAACAGAGAAAAGAAATAGAGAAAAATCAAGAAAATTTATAAGAAATAGAGAAAAATCAAGAAAATTTATAAGAAATAGAAAAATCAAGAAATAGAGAAAATTCATAAAAAGTAGAGAAAAGTCAAGAAAATTCGTCAAAAATAACGCATAATTATTAAAATAAAGAAAATTAAGTTAAAAACAAATAAAAATCAAGAACAGAAATAAAAAATTTAAATCCAAAAAAAAAAATTCGATTAATATCATTAAAAGATTAAAAAAATCAATAAATTTGAAAGTTAAATAATATAAATCCTCTTATGACAATTCTTTAATTATTTTCAATTAAAATATTGCAAAACTTTTAAATTAGATATATTTTATTTTCTAAAAATTAATTTATAAGATTAAAATACTTCTAAAATTATTATTACCATCAAAATACAGTAGAACGTCAAATAACGGCCACCTGTAAACAACGACCACTCTTAGCAACTGCCATTTTTGTTTCCGTCGTTGGTCGTCGTTTACAGGTTTAATTGTATATTTTAAATTTATGACATAAATATTAAAAAAATTATATTATTTTATAATTTAAAACAATTTTTCTCACTATTTAAATAGTGAGATATAGAGATATGTTTGCAAGTAGGATCTGTCTGTCAGTAACGCTCTAATAGTTTATGACGTAAAATACACTTAACCGCAGCTTGTTTCTATATGTAAATTATATTACTCTTGCTGTACAATATTATAGACCGTTTTAAAACAATATAACAGATGTTTAAAATTGGCAGGCAACGGAGCGCGTGTAAACGTAGGCTAAAACGAAAATCGCATCGCTTCGTCGCTAGCGCTTAGCAATTAAGCGATAATTTTATATCTTTATTGCTAAGAAAATTTAAATTTAAATTTAAAAAAATATGCGATTTTATTATTTGTAAACAAAGATTTACAAATTTTATAATAATTTTATTTAAATTAAATTTTTTAAAATGCAATAAATGGTGCTGGTAGTGTTAAAGAGTGCATCGCTTCATCGCTTCATCGCTTGCTCTTACCAATGGAGCGATTATTTTATATGTTTAATACTTAAAATATGCAATTTTATATTTTTTAAACGGAAATTTAATACTTTTATAATGTTTTTTTTTTTAAATTAAATTTTCAAAAATGTATTAAATTCTGCTGCTAGTGTTAAGGCGTGCATCGCTTTTCGCTTTCTAAACATAAAGCGATAAAGCGAAAGTGGAGCGAAGTAAATATATTTTACGAATTTCTCAATATATTCATCACGAAAACGTTAAATTGACGATATATATATATTGTATTATCTGTATATTTTAGTCATACTATAATATTCTATATTAAAATACAGCATCTTTTAAAACGGGACAACAAAAGCGGCGAGCGGCGATAAATCGTGTCGCTTGGCAAAAAAATAAAACACGACAGTTTTTTAAAGGATAATTATTACTTTATATGTAAACCTTATATGTTAAATATATAATTAAAACACTTAATTATTAATTAAATTAACTTATCATCGTGCATACATTAGCATCGCAGGTAAGATGAGTGTGCAAAGTTTGCTGCATTCATCCGGTAGCATAAAATAAGTTGTATCAAATTACATTCTATAGCTTACTACATATAATTTGAACTTTGAACCCGACTTTAATAATAGTAAACAATCCAAAGCATTTAAATTCTTTTCGATTATCGAGTTTAGAAGAAATCTAGGCCCAGTTTATTTGTTTATTTATTTATTTATAAAAAATAGATAAATAAATAATTAATAAAGAAAATATTCGATAGGACCCGTTAAATTAATTAATAAAAATTGTATACAGTTAAGTCAATTCCTTTAAAGAAAAGTAGGTCAACGAACTTCGCAATATTTAACAATGATGTAACGTCTCTTAAATTCGTTTCGCCATTAAAAATTTATTATTCTAAACGTGTTATATCCTTTAATTTTGTTACAGTTGTAAATTTAAATATTTAATTTTATTATAATTTATTTGCCTAATTAAAAAATCCCGGACGTAACATCAGCGCGCGGCATCATCCTCATCCATCATTCCAATCGGAGATAACGGAGAAGGGATGCTGAGGAGAAGCGATCCAGCATCATCTTAGAAACTTAAAAACTTCACTCGGGAGCGTTATATAGGGGAAGAGCGCGCGTAAAAATAGTTCGAACGTTTAATATCAGATGGCGCTTTAAGATTGCACACCAGTTTGGAAGGCAAGGTCGGTAGCAGTGTGAGCTTTTAAGTATGATCGGAATCAACCCTCCCGTAAGCTTGGCGAAGTTTTTCTCTAGCAGACTATTACTTGGATTTTAAGTTAAGTTTACAGTTAATGCAACATCCAGCATGGATCAACATGGAGAGGAGGATTTGCCCATGTGAAGAAGAGTATCCGCGAAATGTTTAGTAACAGCTGTTCCTCTCACCTGTACTGAATAAACGCAACCACCTGGGTGATTACTGTGGCCAACACGTTGTGTACGAATTGATCGCCTACAATGGGTACTCAGGATAGTATCTTGAACGTTAACGAGTTGATGAGGAAGCAAGACGAGACTATAAGAAGTTTAAGGAATCTTCTACTAGAAAAAGACGAGGAAATACAACAGTTAAAGAGTTTACTAGATCAATATCAATCAGTTTTAGGCCCCTATAATCGTTATAGTATAAGTGCCAAGAGAAGAAAGCAAAGAGCTCAGGGAATATCAGCTGAACCTCAGGTTTTTAACAGTTGTACTCAATTGCAAGATTTAATTCAAGCAAAATTTCCAGAATATCCGAAATCTGAAAGGTAAAAT